AAAAAACAACCAATTATAAGATAGAAATGAAGAGGATATCGATCATAATTTTATTGGCGAACGAACGAATGAAGCAAGAGTGAGTGAATGAGTAACCTTAATTGGCAACGATGACTGGGTGAGTGAGGCCGTATGTGGCAACGGACGTCCCAAGAGGGCTGCACCGGCAAGTTGTGGACCGAGTGCAACACCGGGTGGGAATGAAACCGCAGTGTTCGCTGTGGTACCAGTATTGTTCGATATGGACGGTTGTGTTGAGCCAGCAGTCATTGACGACACTGACGCACTGCCGAGTGATACGTTTTGCGGTAAGGACATTGGCTGAAATTTGAAAAAGTCACAACAAAAATGGTGTGTGATTCCTTATTGCTTTGTGTTTCTTGAGTTCATTTATGATTCGTTTGGAGGTGGCGAAACGATGCAAACATTCGGAAGTTGCTTGATAAAAACAAAAGAACAAAATTAATCGTTGAAGCTTTTCTCTGCGTGTATCACTTTTGATGCTAACAGGAAAAATGATGACTTCACAGTATCAATTTAGCAGAAATTTACAATACAGCTAAGAATTTTTTAATTCATTCGTCAAAAATCCGTCGTGTTTTGCAAAAAAAAAAGAGGGAAAGAAACCATTGAAAAGCGAACTTGTTGCGCTTGTTGTTGCTGTTGCTGAAGGATTTGTGCGGCCAAGAACGGGAATGCCGCCGCGGCAGCGTTCGGTGGCGCTCCGGTCAAGAAGGCATTACCAAAACCAGCGGCAGCGTTCAACGATGCGGCAAAGCTGGGATTGCTGAGGAATGCTTGTCGCAACGGATCGAGTAGACCGGCTTGCGAATTAGCACGCGGATCACCGCCAATCGATGCGGCAGCAGCAGCAGCAGGCGTAAGATCACGAGCCGAGAGCACACCACCGAGCGCTGACGGTAAACCTCCGACAACAGTGGCAGCACTGGCAATATTGGGTGGTGCGATCGATGTGTTGACAAACAACGACGCGGTACCGGCTTGCATGGGTAGTGATGCTGCTGAAGTGGTGGTAATATTTGTGTTGTTACTGGTAGGATTTAGAGTGTTCGTGTGGTTTTGAGCAACACTCGTGGTTGGAATCGACGGAGCGATTGACGTTGATGGAGCGTTATGACCTGGATCAACTGGATGAGTGGCTGAAATGTTTTGCAGTTCAGTTCAATGTCTTCTTTTCAACACAACCTTTTTTTGGG